TTTGAAAAAAGGTTTGACGAAATGTTAACAAGAATACACAATTTAGAGAGGAATATAAGTGAATTAATGGAACTAAAAAACATAACACGAGAACTTCGCGAAGTATGCACAAGTTTTAACAGCCGAATTGATCAAGCAGAAGAAAAGATAGAGGTTGAAGACCAATTTAATGAAATAAAATGAGAAGACAAGATTAGAGAAAAAAAGGATAAAAAGGAACGAGCAAAGTCTCCAAGAAATATGGGACTATGTGAAAAGACCTAATCTACGCTTGATAGGTGTACCTGAATGTGATGAAGAGAATGAATCCAAGCTGGAAAATATGCTTCAGGATATTATTCAGGAAAACTTTCCCAACCTAGCAAGGCAGGACAATATTCAACTCCAGGTAATACAGAGAACAGCACAAAGATATTTCTCAAGAAGATCAATCTGAAGGCACTTAATCGCCAGATTCACCAGGGTTGAAATGAAGGAGAAAATACTGAGTGCAGCCGGAGAGAAAGGTCAGGTTATCCATAAAGGGAAGTCTATCAGACTCATGGCAGATCTCTCAGCAGAAATCCTACAAGCCAGAAGAGAGTGGGGGCCAATATTCCACATCCTTAAAGAAAAGAACTTTCAACCCAGAATTTTACATCCAGCCAAACTAAGCTTCATAAGTGAAGGAAAAGTAAAATATTTTGTGAACAAGCAAGCACTCAGAGATTTCATCACCACCAGGCCTCTTTACAAGAGCTTCTGAAAGAACCACTACACATAGAAAGGAACAAACAGTATCAGCCTTTCTAAAAAATACCAAAAAGTAAAAAGCATCAATATAATCAAGAATTTACATCAAGTAATGGGCAAAACAGCCAGCTAACATTAAATGCCAGTATTAAACTCACATATATTATTATTAATTCTAAATTTAAATCGACTAAATTTCCCAATCCAAAGACACAGACAGGCAAAAAAAAAAGCCAAGACCCATCGGCATGCTGCATCCAGACCTATCTCACATACAAGGATACACAAAGACTCAAAACAAAGTGATGGAGAAAGATTTACCAACCAAATGGAGAGCAAAAATAAATAAATAAATAGAAAGCAGGAGTTGCAATTTTTGCTGATAAAATAGACTTTAAAGCAACAAAGATCAAAAGAAGCAAAGAATGATATTACATAATGATAAAAGGATCAATGTAACGAGAAGAGCTAAAGATCCTAAATATATATGCACCTAATACAGGAATACCCTGATATATAAGATTTATAGAGACTTGGACTCCCACACAATAATAGTGGGAGACTTCAATATCAATATTAGACAGATCAATGAGAGAGAAAGTTAACAACAATATCCAGGACTTGAACTCAGATCTGGAACAAGTAGACTTAATTAACATTTATAGAACTCTCCACTTTAAATACACAAAATATACACTCTTATCACATCACACCTATTTACAGGTTTAAATGAAATATTGGTTGGCTGCTTGTTAGTTTTTTCTTCCCTCATTTTTAAAATTTTTTTTATGTCTCTATTATTAAGCACAATTATAGGCATACCCATTTTTAGACTGCATTCTAGCCTGGGCAATAAAGCAACACCCCCGTTCTCTCTCCCTCTTCCTCTTCCTCTTTCTCCTTCATTCTCTTTTTATTCTTTTTCTTTCTCTCTTTCTTTTTTTTTTAAATAAGATATAATGCAGATGAAATGCTTAACTCAGTATCTGACACATAAGAGGTCCTCAATAACAACCCATTAAAAGCTCAACCCCTTTTCTACTCTTGGGTTGTTTTGCCATTATATATGGAATCCCAAGGCATTTGTTTCCCCCAGACTCTCAGGGCTAGTGATGGGTACATGTTGAATCTCAACAATAACCCTAAGAGGAAAGATGTTCAGGTCTCACTATTCCTCTTCTACAGGTGAGAAAGTGCACTTTGGAGACACTGAGACCATTGCCCTGGGCCTCTCACAGGTCTGGGCATCAGTCCAGGGCTCATTCCTCTTCACCCTCACCAGTCCCTTACTCTGCCTGAATGCCAAGAAATTGCACCACCTCTGCTGCCCAGAGCTTGAAAATGTCAGGATATTTGGGGGAAGCTAGAAGGACAGGCTAGAAAGCGAGAAAGGAGAGAGAAGTGGGCGTGGAGCAGGAAAGCACCTGTGTCCTTGGAGTCAGAGCAGGGGCCAGTCAGGAGCTGAAGATCTTCCCAGTGCCTAGGGGTGGAAAGTGGGATGCCTCATAGCCTGTCGGTGACCAGGATCCAAGATCTGGCTTCCGGGCGAAGATCTGCTTCAACTCTGTGATCTCTGCAGGTGGCTTCCCCTTTCAGGGCCTCAACTTTCTGACCTGTCATGTGGGCATATGAGATTTCATCACTGTTTTTCAAGCTGCCAGTTGCCATCTGTTAGCAGGTTGTGAAATGAGTTTAGTGAACTATAAAAATATATATATACATATATAACCCTCTTTTTGAGAAGATCTCAGTTAACTCAGCATTTTTTCATATTTTGTAGTTCACCAAATTCCAGCCAGTTTACCGGCTGAAATAGCATTTGTGCAGACCTCAACTATGTCAGGTACATTCTGACTAACACAATTAATATAGATAATAATAGAAATATGTAAGAATGACTTGTATTCTTTTACAGCCCCATAACAAATACATGCTTATGAGCCATACTATTTGCTGAATAAGCAAACCTCCAACATAGACACTAATAATGCTGTATAGAAAAAATCTGTATGCTTCATTTCAATTCAAATACCTTGGGGGTAAATGGTGCTTCATATTGGACAAAGTATTATCATATACGTTTTAATGAGTAACATTTGTCCAGTAATTTGCAATTGGCTTTCACATTGTCCAATTTAAGCTTTATAAACATCCATATGTAGTCAGTATTAGTATCCTTATTTTGCTAATAAAGAAATTGTGACTTGGAGCTGTTAAATGACTTGCTGCTTTGACTCAGCTAGCTATTAGACAATCAAAGCTAAAACATGACTAGACTACAAATTTAGAGAAATTTCCCCATGCAATAATTGCCTGGAGAACTCTTGCTTATCTTAATTATTTCATCATATATGGTTTTATTTTTTTTCAATATTTTTCAAGATTTAGTTAAATGAGAGTCGATTTTTCATTTTTCTTGTGCAGTTCCCCAAATAACCAAGGCAATTAACATAATTGTTGTCATGTGCTACTATATCCACTTTATGCAACAGATATTGCTAATTTTATAATCACCATATACTTAGCACATCTCTGTCGTAGCTCAGGATCCAGGTTATAAATTTCTTCTGAGGCATATTCTACATATGCATTGACAGAAAATAAGCATACTGGAAAGCATCCAGTATTTTTAAAATTCAAAATAAACACAGTCCTGGTTTTTGCTGATATTTGAAGTTAACAGTTAATATAAAACCATAAAACTCAAAGATTATACTGTTGTATAGGAATAATGTAATTCTACTATAAATGATTTTTTAAATGAAATGCCTGATAAGAAGTGAGGACCAGAAAGATATAATAAATGTACATCATTGAATGGGTTTTCAAGGACAAAGATTTTATTACAGTTTCACAATGTGGAGAAACAACTTTTAAGAGCCTGTTTAATCAAATGAGCGCTAAAAGGATAAAAAGAAATGTACATTATGAAATGGGTTTTCAAAGGCTAAAATGTTACTACAATTTCACAATGTGGAGAAGCAACTAAGAGCATATTTAATCAAATTCTGGTTTATATCAATGTTTTGAGGTTCGTTGTAGCAAATGGGATAAATATATTATTTCAACCTGTGATGAACACCGTAAGATTGTCACAACTGTCTCGGCAGAGTTTTTCTTCCTTGCCGTCTAGCACGAAGTAAGCAGTCATGTTGCAAGTAAGTAGTCAGTAAGTCCACGTGGCAACGTAGTGAAGGTGGCCTCTGGTCAGCTACCAGTCAGAAACTGAGAGCAGCCTCTGGCTGACAGCCAAGAAAAGGCTGAGACCTCACTCTCCTCACTCTCAATGTCCATAAGAGATTGAATTCCACAACAACCATGTTAAGTTTGGAAGCAGTTAATCTCTGAGACAAGACTGCAACCATACTGGTGTCTCAATTGCTGCTTTCAGAGGAGACCCTGAAGCAGGGAACACACCAAAGCCCTGCCCAGACTCCTGATCTGAAGAAGCTGCCTAAATATGTGTTGTTTTAAGCCATTCAGTTTCTGGTAATTTCTTACATATTATCAGATAGTTAACAGTAATAGATAATAAAGAATGAGTATTTAGAAGACATTATTATAATGATGAGAGTGGAAGGAAAGCATTGACTTCCTTAAGAGAAGCTTTCAGATCTGCAGTCTTGGACAATAAATGCATCTTATCTCCTCTACTTTAGAATTTACAGTTCAGAATTTACAGGGCAGTAAGTGCATCTTATCTCCTCTACTTTAGAATTTACAGTTCAATAATTATCACAGACATTTCATATATGCAACGGACACTTGAATTGTTGATCTGGTTTCTAAGTTTGGATATTTGAGGTGAATATCAATATGTTTTACTTAGGATTAAATTTGGTTGTATACACAAAATATACCAAAAAAACCTTGCTCCAACACAAAGGCTAATACTTGTAGAAATAAATTCAGACAGAGACACTTAAGGACTGGTCCCTGGTTTTCATTGTAAGTAGCCACCACTTAAAACAGCCCCTCACAGTCAAAGATGACTGCTTAAGCTCAAGGCAGCAGTCATAGAAATGAGAGGAAGAGGAGAATTAGTGGAAGTGACGGACAGTACTTTTTCCTACATTTCATAGGGTAAAACTTACCTATGTAACTACAACTAGCTTCTGGAAAGCCAAGGAAATCTATTCTTTTAGTAGGCCTCATTTTTAGCCTAAATAATATTATAGTCTTTTTATTAAGAAAGAAAAGGAGGCTGGGCTTTAAGGAGTCAATTAGTAATCTAACAATATTACTTAATTTCTAAAATTACTGAGCTGGCCCGCCTGGGGCGTCGGTGGCGGCGCTCCCATGGCGCACATCACCATCAGCCAGTACCTGCAGCAGGTGTATGAAGCCATCGACACCAGAGATGGAGCATCTTGTGCAGAGTTGGTGTCTTTTAAACATCCTCATGTTGCAAACCCACGACTTCAAATGGCCTCTCCAGAGGAGAAGTGTCAACAAGTCTTGGAACCCCCTTATGATGAAATGTTTGCGGCTCCTTTAAGGTGCACACACACAGTGGGGAACTATGACTTCATAGAGGCATACAAGTGCCAGACCGTGATCGTCCAGTCGTTCTTGCGAGCATTCCAGGCGCACAAAGAAGAAAACTGGGCCCTGCCTGTCATGTATGCAGTCGCGCTTGACCTTCGAGTGTTTGCCAACAATGCAGATCAGCAGTTGGTAAAGAAAGGAAAAAGCAAAGTTGGGGACATGTTAGAAAAAGCAGCAGAATTACTGATGAGCTGTTTCCAGGTCTGTGCCAGCGACACCCGCGCTGGTATCGAGGACTCGAAGAAGTGGGGTATGCTGTTCCTGGTGAATCAACTGTTTAAAATCTACTTCAAGATCAACAAACTCCATTTATGTAGGCCCCTAATTAGAGCAATTGACAGCTCAAACCTGAAAGACGATTACAGCACTGCACAGAGTCACATATAAATACTACGTTGGACGCAAGGCCATGTTTGACGGTGATTTTAAGCAAGCCGAGGAGTACCTGTCGTTTGCCTTTGAGCATTGCCACCGTTCCAGTCAGAAGAACAAAAGGATGATTCTCATCTATTTGCTTCCAGTAAAAATGCTATTGGGTCACATGCCCACTGTTGAGCTCCTGAAAAAGTATCACCTGATGCAGTTTGCAGAAGTCACCAGAGCTGTGAGTCAGGGCAACCCGCTGCTGCTGCATGAGGCGCTGGGGAAGCACGAGGCCTTCTTCATTCGCTGTGGGATCTTCCTCATCCCCGAGAAGCTGAAGATCATCACCTACAGGAACTTCTTTAAAAAAGTCTATTTGTTACTGAAAACACACCAGCTGTCTCTGGATGCTTTTCTGGTTGCCTTGAAATTCATGCAGGTGGAGGACGTGGACATTGATGAAGTCCAGTGCATTCTGGCTAACTTGACATGCATGGGTCACATCAAAGGCTACATATCGCATCAGCATCAGAAGCTCATGGTCAGCAAGCAAAACCCATTTCCTCCGCTGTCCACGGTGTGTTGAATGTACACGTAGCCCTGAGGATGGGGGACAGTTGTTTCCGTTTTGGTTGCGCTGATGAGACCCCGCCGGAACTGCGACAAGGCTCTCTGAAGCTGGAACTCTTGGAGGCGCTTTTCCCAGGGACGCTGAGGCTGAATGTTTCAGCACACCTGAGTCAGTCTCCTCCTTCATTTGTAACTAATTTCAGCCCATAAAAACCTGGAATTTCCTTTTTCACAAAACTCAGCTGGTTCTGGAGTCTTTGTGAAACTTCTCTGAAGGAGGCTTTGTGTGAAGGCAGCTCCGACTCACCTCTCCTAATCGTGGTTCCTGAAGACTGTCTTTGTGACTTTTTTGTAGTTCTTTGTACAAGAAGGGTATTCTGAATTTATACACATGGCATGTTCTTCATTGTATCTTCCAGGATCCATCTATTTTTATATATCAAATTTGAATATTTTATGCCATCAAAGTGATTGGTTAACTTAAGGCATCTTTTTAAAAGGAGAATTTAATTTGATTTAAATTTTCCAGATTTTATAGCTTGCCCGTATGGATGCTCCTCAATTTATGATGGGGTTACATCCCAATAAACTTATTTTATTTGCTTTTGAAAATAAAAAATAAAAAATAAAATTATTAAATCTTGAGCAATGCTTAAAAATTAGATATAAAATTAGGTTATAATAGAAAAGCATTCCCAAATTATATTTATAGTTTTCCAACCCTAGCATGAATTAATGATAAAGCAAGATAAGCAGCAAGTGACATTTAATTTATGATAATTATCATAATTCATAACGATACTCAAACCTCTGCTTTTAAGCTGTTAGACATGCAAAAACACTATTATAATGCCAAATAAAATCAATACCAACTACTCAAGATTTGTAGATGGGTTGCAGATAACCTGATATGAGAAAAGGTAGATAATACTTTCAAAATTTAAACATGACTTTAATGTGACAAGTTTGAAATTAATTATCATTAATAACTGAGTCTATTACTTTATTTTTCTTCCTACTTTTGAACTTATTGACTTTCAACAACAAAAACGGGAAGAAAAAATAGAACGTAGCTGATAAAAAATTCAATTAGGAATGTTTTTCCAAGAGACTAAATTTAAATTAATGGGTAAATGATCCTTCATTAAACATTTTATTTATTTCTAAAAGGTATTGTTACATTGTATTACTGCCTGCATATTTAGGAAATGTAGGAAAATTTGCCCTATTAAGTGTATGAAAAGGTACTGCCTGTGACTCTCTGATGTACTACAAAGGAAATACCCATTGGTGAGGAGTTAGTAGTAAATACAAAAATCTCTGATTAAACATAAATTGCTTATTATGAACTGTAATAAGTCCAATGATAAAACATATTATAGTATAAAAGAGTTTAACAAGGAAAGTAACTTATTTTGAGACTAACATTTCAGCTGAGATCTGAAGAAGTAGTAAAATGTTGCCAGTTGAAATTTAAAGGAAGAATAGTCCAAGCTTAAAAAAAACAACACGTGGAAAGGCCTGAGTCATGGCGCCAGAGCGTTTGGTTACAGAGTGTGAGCTCTGGGATCCCAATTCTGTCAGTTTATACAGATAAACATTTGAAAGGATAATACCACCCTGAGTGGTAGGCTTATTAACTTTAGCTGGTTCATATTAAATATGTCTTCGGTTTATCTATACAGGTATTTAGCTTGCATTGCATTGCATTGCTTTAGTAATGAAGAAAAGCACTTTTAGGATGTTAAGAAAAAATATTAACATTTACGTTTAGCCCCTATGTGCTCTCATGGCTTTATGCTTCCTTCTGGAATAACAATCAGCCATATTAAGATGAACATTGTAGTCATGTGTTACCAAGAGGAGATTCCTTAAGGACGGGAACCACGCACTCACCTCTAGAACTGCCATACGCACTGTAACTTACACCATCAGTTTTTGTACCTGTCCCTAGGCTCAGATTTCCAAGGTTGAATCCCAGGTCCATGATTTATTTACCTGTGTGTCTTTGGGAAGATTATACAATCTCTGTCGGGCCTTGTTTCCCCCTGTGTAAAATGGACATAACATTAAAACCTGTAGTGTAGATATGTTATCAGGGTTTAATAAGATGAGGCAAATAAAATGCTTAGCAGAATGACTGACACATATTAAAGTAAATAAATATTTTTGCCCATCATAACTGTCACCATAATCAACCTACAGTTTAAAATAAACTCATCAACAGCCTCTAAAAGGATACACACAATTTCTACTGCTACTGCTACTAAGCCACTAAAGGTTTATGGTCATAATTCCCCTGTTAGATTTCTGTATTTGTTTACAAAGATGAGCACATATTTCCCACCATGGAACTTCGAAGTTAGTAGATTATAATCATTCCAGAATTGCTAGATCATAGAGAAAATTGGGCTAGGAAAGAAGAGATAATAAAGGTAATATAGAGTGGTAAGAAGAAAACAAAACATTCCATGCACCAAATTTTATGCCATTTACTTAGCTTTTATTTATTTTTTAAATTGTAAACTCTTGTGTTTGGAAAATATTAAAATTTCTAAATATATAAATAAGAAAATTCAAATTATTTTATAAGTAAGTTATCTTGTAAGTCAAGTTTCTCACAATATTTTAGTATACTCCCTTCCAATATTTTGTTGAGTAAAAGTGAGAGCATAAGTGAAATATAAGTTTGGTGGAAATTTTATGGAGCCTCAATCTCTATCCAGAATCCCTATTTTGAACAGAAAAAATAATACTAAGTAGTCTGCAAGAATTAACTATTAGTTAGTTCTTTAAAAACATATAAAGTTATAATAAAACTTCACACAATCTGAATAGATAATTAACAAAAAACATATTTCAGTGGAAAAAAATACTAAAAATTAAACTTCACTAGTTATTAAAAAACATAAATGTTATAAATTTGGCTATTGACAAAGGTATATTTAAATAAATTTCTGAGTTGTCAAATGCCTGTTAGTACTGGTGACTAGAAAGTATACAGTAAACATATGTTGATTGCTTGAGTGAGCAAATGATGGGAATGTAAATTGGCAGTATATATTTATTTATTTTGAGATGGCGCTTTGCTCTTGTCACCCATGCTGCAGTGCAATGGTGTGATCTCAGCTCACTGTAACCTCTGCCTCCCTGGCTCAAGCGATTCTACTGTCTCAGTCTCCCAAGTAGCTGGGATTACAGGTGCCCGCCACCACGTCAGGTAAATTTTTGTATTTTTTTAGAAGAGACAGGGTTTCTCAAACTCCTGACCTCAGGTGATTCTCCTGCCTTGGCCTCCCAATGTCCTGGGATTACAGTTGTGAGCCACCACACCCAGCCAACAGTAACTTTTACAAAGAAAATTTGACAATAACTTTAAAAAACTGAGCACTCTTGAGACTCTTGGACCCAACAATTTACTATTTTATTTACATTTTAATTTAGAAATAATGCATACATAAACACACACAGAAAATCACATCTATTATAGATGTATAAATCAATGAATTATTATTGAACACACCTGTGTACGTCCCAGATTAAGAAATGAAACATTACTTAAACATCTTGGAATCCTTATTCATGCTCTTTATAGTCACAGCCTGATCACTCTTCTCAAGTTGGCAGTATTTATTTTTTTTCTTACACCAATGGCCAAAAAGTCATCTCAGATAGTCACAGATTTAGCAAGTGCTAGAAGCTGAAATTTAAATCTAGTTTTGTCTATGGATGAAATCCATGTTCTTTCCATGATATCATCATCATTTACATGTGTTGGGGGCTCTGTAATGTGCAAAATTGCATTGCAACAGAATATATAAAACATGCTTGATATTGTAAGTAAATAATTGGTGTCTGAAATTGGATTTTTTATATTATTTAGTGAATGAATACGTGGATCACAAGTCAATAAATACTATTGAGCATTTCCTAATCAGACATGAGTTCAGATGCAATATGTAAAATGGCGAAGGAAAGAGGCAAGGTGTCACCCTCAGAAACTTGCATTTTACCAGGAACAGGAAGAAAATGAACATACAGTAAACAGAAAGTAACATCAGTGTTGGCTGAATGTCTATAAAGGAAGTAAACATGGTTATGTGATGGGAAGTAATGAGAATCAGTGGAGACAGGGGTGGTAAATAGGCTATTCAGGTGAAGGTGCTGATGTGCATTTTTAAGTGAAAGAGTTTAAAAACAGCACAGAGAATGCCTTACAGGTGTGAATACCACTCGTGTGTGTGTGTGTGTGTGTGTGTGTGTGTGTGAGAGAGAGAGAGAGAGAGAGAGAGAGACAGAGAGAGAGAGAGAGAGAGAGAGAGGTTGTAAAGACTGTGTGTTTGGAGGCAAGGCAAGGTTGCTAGAAGCAGCTGGCCTAGAAATATCAAACAGTGATTTCAGAGATTTGGAAGTTTGGGCCTCATTCAAAAACAGTTTTTTGGATAAAGTAATTTATAAATTTGATTTGAAATATAGTTTGTTGTGAAACAAAAGCATAATTCAGTTTCACCACAGTATTATGACTAATGTTAGAGGTCTTATTCTAAAGTTAAGAATAATAGTTATGGTCTAGAATCTAAACTATAGTTTGATGAAAGCTTCTATTTATATAAAAATTGAGGATTGAAGTTGTAGACAGCCCTTTGTGATTAAGTTTTCGCAAGATGTTGCCATTTCCAAAGGTCGTAAAAAAGCAAAATCAGGAAAACAGCTTGAGGACATTGGTATCTGAGACAGTCAAAGTTCAGGGTATTATTAAAACTGAAGTAAATGTTGAGAAAATTGGCAAAACTTAAAGTTTATTCTCAGTAGTACTCAAATCTGACACCAAACAGTAATATCTGCTAGAAAATAATTCAAACAAAGGTTTTTCTTGAGTAACACCTTAATAACAAATTTGATTCATTTTAAAATTGATATACAAACATAAACCATAAGAACTATCTTAAATATAGTTTAGTCCAAGACGCTTCACAAATATAGAGGTACAATAAGATTCCATTTTTTTCAGAATAAGTTATTAATCTTGCTGAAAGTAAATAGTTTCATCAGGGATTCTCTTAGACTACTTGAG